CCCCAAAACCCCAAAACCCCAAAACCCCAAACCTTATCTCCCTTTTTGAACCATATTTTCAAACCTTAAAAATTTAAATATCTGCCCAAATATATTCGCACAACTCAACATCCTAAAGTTGTTCACTGTAAATCTGTGAGCTATCAAGCTAAGCAGGGATTCTTCATAATCAAAAGTTGAGCTCGAGAGCTGTTAATCTAAGAATTTGGAGAACGATTTTTTGGATTTTAATGAGGCAAAGAAGAAGGTTTGAGTGATGGAAAATTCCTGTATTTATTATTAAGGCTGATGGCAACTTTTATGTGAGATTAATAGTAAATAGATTTGATCACCACTATTCTTAAGGTATGAAATAAGACTTAAAGCCAATAAAATAATTAAATCATAACAGAGCATCAACTCTAAAATTTTATTCTTATCCAAATCAGCCTCTTAACCCTCTCTTCAAATTTTTCAAACACCAAACTCTCAAAACATTACGACTATGAAAGTTATTCGCCTTCCAGCTTCCTTGATAAAGCTATGGATGAATGAAAGATCCTTCTTCTTTCCCTTAATCAAAGGATCGGTCATGAACAAACTAAATGCCACCAGAAAGTGACCAGAATTGAGACGAATAGAAGTTAAAGGAATTGAGACTAGCAAAATATTAAGAACAGTGCTAGGATTCAAGACTTTAGCTGGATATAAATTCAGATGGTAAAACCTCTCCTACATTTCAGGATGAGAAACTCCAAGCCTATTATTGCTTCAAAGTGCTAACCTGATCTTCCAGTGAGCTCAAGCCTGGATTTCCAGATAGAGAGGAATAATAGAATTTTGAGAAATTGAGATAAATGGATTTTATTGAATTATGCATTTTCTCTGTTTAGGAGGTGGAAGAGTTTCGCCAGGATTTTGAGTTTTGGGCTCCAGAGAGAGACTTCTAAACTTGTTCTCATTGATACTGAAGAAGGAGATCTTTAGAGCGTAAAGGTTGAGATCTTGGAGAGAGGTGAGAACTTGGTCTTGCTCAAGCAAGCATTGACCGAAGCTTAATCTTTTCAATGAGTTTCTTAGGTTGCATTCAGATATACTCATGATAAAACTCTTAAAGGATTTTTCTGACAAACGTCCAATATCAAAACCATTTTCATCTTCATCAGTTGTCTGTTCTTTAGTATCATCGAACCATATAGTTTGTGTCTTGTACTCAAAAGTGCTATTAAGAGTTATTCCTTCAAAATTTATTGTGCATCTTTGGAAACCAAGACATTTGATCAATCGACATCATTGTATAATTTTATTTGAACTGCTTTGTCGATAGATTCAATCTCTCAATTTGGCATTCCCTCAGTGTGTATGCAGAAAATCCTAATAGATCCATAGAAAACTTTTTAAAATTATTCTTTTGAAAACCTGCATAGGCTAATCTATTGTTAATATTCAAATATTTTAAGATGACTCTGGGGTTTAAAGTCCTTATAATATTCTTTATATCAGTAGGATGGTTCCAGTCAAAACTTAATACTTTAACACTGCAATGCATCCCATAGCCAACTCTAAAATGGTCATAAAACAAATTACACAAGATAATTTTGTACAAACGAATGTCTTCTTAAAAACCTCTTATTCTTTCTAAGGCCTCTAACCTGCATAATTTTGAGTCAAGAAATTGATAGCTACACAGTATAACCTGATATCTTACACTGTAACCCATTTCTCCAATTTTCCAATGAATTGCATTAATCATATCCATTTCTTTCTTGTAAGTCTGCTTTTCACTCATCCTGATAGAGTCCATGCTGTCAATTTAATTATTTAAAGGAAGTCAGGCCGGAGGTCTATTTGGGGTTTTGGGGTTTTGGGGTTTTGGGGTTTTGGGG